CAGTGACGCGTCCTAAAACCCAGAAGTGAGTTAGCATTTTTACCACTTTCTGTTCCCTCGTCTCAGAGCCAATGGGATCACTCCATAGGGTTTTGGAAAATATCTGAAATAAGGTCTGTGGTTGAGACACATTTAAGAGACGGATCACGTTTTGTTCTACGACATTAAATACCAGGGTTCTTACGGTCATTAAAAACCTGGAAAAGTCATGGAAATTCAAAATGCTAATTCCAGGCCCTGGAAAAGTTATGGAAACAAATATTTTTCCCAAAGTTTGGGAAAAGTCATAGAAATGTTACTAAAGTTGCATCAAATATAATTTATATTTTATCTAATCGCCGAAATAGTAATACTATAATGATAATAAATACTGTATGGTAATGAAATGAGGTATTTTGCTGGTGAGAGATTGTAGTTGCTTTAGCCTGTAGGAGCAAGTAAGCCTACTATTGGGTTTGTTTTAGATAGGCACAACATTTTTCAGACCTTATTTTCCTGTTCCATGTTAAAATAAACAACTTTCAGTGGTACCGCTGAGAAGAGTAATTTTTTGGGTCATGGAAAATGAGGTAAAGGTCCTGGAGAAGTCATTGAAAATCATTGGTGAAAAAGTGTATGAACCCTGAAATCCATCAGCAGTGACCCCACTGGGGATTTCTGAAGAGTTGACCTGTCTGAAAAACGATGGTTGTTACCAAGTGGCTGAATAGGACTACAGAAGTCGTGGAGGCCGTTGTACGTCATTACGCCAAACACGTAAACACTCCCGCTAAGCTAGTTTGCCCTGTTCTGCTTGAGAGCAAGTCCCTGCCTCCTGCAAACTGTTCAAACAAACGCTTCAACTCGCACCATTTAGAATCTGTGTGTTTGAATATGGATCTTAAGTTGACGTTGAAGTCGTGCTGCTGGACTCGGCCGTAGTTCCTTTATAGCATGACGTTAGCATTTTGCTTCTGGCCATTAGATTTATGATTCTAAAAGTAGGGTAGACGTGTGGAGATTATCCGGCTGAACAAAAAGTGCATTTATCAAAGGGGCTCGTTTTCCACAGACCTTATTTCGAGCTATTTTCCAAAATCTTATGGAGAAATCCCGTTGCTTTTTTGTCGAGGGAAACCGAGCGCAGCTTACTTCCGGGTAAATGCGTCATCCCTGCCCCACTCTATTGGCTAGCGATACAACACATTGGCAGGTTATAGGCTAAGAGTGTTAAAATAAAGGGATAGCAAAGTGTATTCACTTCAACCTAAATGCATCCTTCATAATTCTGCTAGATCAGAAATCCTTTGAGTCCCAAGGGAGAAATAATAAAGAGCAAGCTAACTTATTAAATATAAAAATGAAAATCACACATTAGTAATACTGCAGAGTTTTGTCTAAACCAGGTATGTGATTTATTAGAATTTATGAAAAGAAATTGGTCAAAGAAATTAAATAAAAACGCAAAATTAGGAGACAACATATCAGATGATTGTGACTGCAGGTAGAACATTCATTTAAGAAATACTTCAATGTCTTGTTTTAACAATTTTAAATTACATTTATTGATTTTTATGAATTGAAAATAGTGAGAACCCAAAATGTTTTCTTTGAATCTCTTAATTTCATTTCTTATTGATTTGTCTTTTCGCTGTCGGTAGAGGGTATTAAAGGCTATAAAACCATCAACATTTTTAGAAATAAGGTCAAATTTTAGACGAAGATCAAGAGACGTCAGTTCATCTGTGACTGCAGTTAGAACATTAATAAAAAGCTACCTCATTGTTGTCTCATTTTTATCTATTTACCATTAAAGAAAATAATGAAAAATGTCCCAAATGTTCTCTATAGCCACTTTCACACCAAGTACTTAGCCGGAACTTGTTCCCCCTGAACTCTTTAGTCCCTCGAACTGTCCTAGTAGATCGCGTTCTCACCGGAATAAGTCCCTGAGGGAAGATTAGACAAATGAAGCCGCTGGTCACTTCTTCTTCTTCTGTTTGGTTTTACTGGCAGGCCGCAAACAACTTCACGGCGTATACTGCCACCTGCTGTACAAGAGGCGTCTGTTCATCTTCCTCAGACATGATGGAGTTGACTGAAGTTGTGGTTTTTGCTCTCATGTTATACAGCTTGGGTTTCCACCGCTCCCATGTTTTCTTTTGTGTTGCCATAAGTTAGCCTCTCTCCGTTGGTGCGCTGGGCTAATGCTAATAATGCTAATGCGAGCAAATGAAATGGCGGCTTCACAAAACGTTTCGGAGTTTTACGGGGCGTGGTTTGCAATTCGCCCAGCCAATAAGAGATTGTTAGCGTGGCCGACACACCCACGAACCATTTCCAAGCATTTACTAAGGAAAGTACTACCCAGGGTTCNTAAAGGTCCTTGAAAATCATTGGTGAAAAAGTGTATGAACCCTGACTACCTCTCTAACAGGGACGATCTGGGGTGAAAAGGTTTGCGCGAACTGGGGGACTAGTTCCAGATCCTTTTTGGTATGAAACCAAATCTCCCCACTATCGGCCTAGTTCAGGGGGAAAGCGCTATATGAATCTCAAACTGTGCAGGGTAAAAACTGGATCACCTGCAGAAGAAAGGCTTCCTCTCTAATAGAGCTGCGCGACAGATATTGTGATTCGATTTGCGATATTTGTTTTTAAGCGACCCAACGGAAGTTTATTGTAAAATGCGGCCATATCTCCGGCTAGGAAGGTCGTATCAACATGCTCCCGTCTCTAGCACCCGCGCAGCCCGAGCTACGAGTGAAAGAACTAAACTTACATGAAACTTCCGTTGGGTTGCTTTAAAGTCAAGCTTCAGTTTAAGATTCACCCTGTAATAGAAACATGTGATGGAGCATTACTAACCTGACTCAGAAACCATCTAGGAAAGCTCCATTGGAAGCCATTTGGAAAGGGCAGGCACTTTCAAAAATACTTGGTAGGTGATTGGATCAATCTGTCTATCACCTTCTATCATGGGCCACTTCTGATTGGTTAACAATGGCTGGTACATGTGGAGCACAGCACTTCTGATTGGTGTGGATGACTGACACACAAGAAGAACGGATTAATCGTTCAGACCTACTCTCTAACAGCGTTTTTATCTCTATTTTCTATAGATTTTGAAACCAGCTGAGAAGAAGAAGCCCAACGGCAGCCGTCCCGTGACTCCCCCCCGCAACATGGTCACCAAGACCGCCAAGAAATGAGTGTTTTAGGGGGGAGGTGAGGAATTTAAAATGTCCAGAGCTTCACTCCTCTGTCCTGCTTTCGTCCTCTGCTTCTGAAGGAGTGGCTATCCTTCAGGCCGCCAATACTGAAAAGATGTTCACTCCTACCCGATGAAAGCAAAGTGTTTTGTTGTTTTGTCCACGGGGGTAAATTGATATGTCACCATGAAGAACCTCAGGTGTTTTGCACTCCATTTTGCAGCTAGTCTTTGCCACATATGACTGTTGGATCAGGAATATAACGATAACAATACGGCTACTTATGCACAGGAATGCCTTGTTTTGAAGCTGTGCACAATTTCTCCAGTTTCGTTCCTGTCTCGTTGATTTGTCATCTCTTTTCTCTCACTGTCGGTAAAGGGTATCAATGGCTGTAAAACCTACAAGGGGGGGGACGAGTCACAAACACCTGTTTACTTATGTTCTACTTTATTTACAGTTTGTTGGCGGTCAGTGTCGTATGATAGAGTTACACTGCTTCACCACATTTTTAAACAAGTCTCGTGCTAAACTAAAATTAATAAAGAAGCACTCTTGTAATGTCTAAATCTTTCTAATAAACTTTGAGTGTATTTTAGGGGGAAACTGGTGTCTGGTTGTCATTTGTTCCAATATATACTTTAAAAAAAAAATCATATTCACAATACAAAAGCTCAACTACAGCTATTCATTGCATAAGAGCCCCTCAGGCAACACCCACAAGGGGGAGACAGACATTACTCTGCCAGTCTCACTATAATGCATAAAAAGTGCTGCAGGAACGTAATATTTTTTTTAAATGTACTGCTTTTCACAGATTAATTTTCTTTAAGTATCTAAAGCTTTCAGATAAATGTAGGGTGAATTGTGTTTTAAATTCCTAATGTATTATAATACAATTGCATAATTAAAAATGAAATTACACAAAAAAAAAGTTTTAATAACTACATATTTTATTATGAACGTATTTTTTGTATATATTATTAATTTCATGTTTTTTTTTTATTGGTGTTTGACGTCATACGCTTGGAATTTGGATCCATTTGTTTCAAAAGATAAGATAGCATTTATTTATTAAAGTAGGAGGTTTTCGCACTTCCTTATAAGGAAACGCAGATTGTGTAATGGTGTCTGACGTCAGAGCAGTCACAAGACCTCGCTAGCAGCTCGGAGTGTGTGTGAAGCAGACACACACATCACTTTGGTGTTATGTAGTGTGTCTGGACGGCATAATTGGCACTATGGCTGCGAAGAAGCAACACTTACGGGTCTTCTGGAGCGGAAGAGGCGACTGTTTAATGTGATTTTTCTCCCCTTAAATATCACGCAACAGAACAAAAGCTCAAAGAACCGTTGACGTTACTTGACAGCGGTTGTTTTTGTTGTCGGCGGTTGGTTAGCATTGTTAGCACGTTAGCCGATAAGCTAAGCAGGTTCCCTCTGCTAAGCCTGTTGTCGGCGGTTGGTTAGCATTGTTAGCACCTTAACCGCTAAGCTAAGCAGGTTCCCTCTGCTGAGCCTGTTGTTGTCGGCGGTTGGTTAGCATCGTTAGCCGCTAAGCCAAGCAGGTTCCCTCTGCTCATCCGGCCGGGTTTGGACGGTGGGAGCCCGGGTTGGTGGGTGATGTTGTCCGTGCTGTCCTACGGTAGACTGGTAGCCAGAGCTGTCATCGGCGGACTCTCTCAGACCGACGGCCGCGACTACAGCCTGGTGACGGCGAGCTGCGGCTTCGGGAAGGACTTTCGGAAAGGCATCCTGAAGAAAGGGATGTGTTATGGGGACGACGCGTGCTTCATCGCCCGACACAGATCCGCCGATGTTCTGGGTGAGTGAGAGGAGACAATCACCAAAACAATGGGATGGCTGAATAACACTCAGAGGAGGAAGTACTCAGATCTGGTACTTGAGTAAAAGTACCAGAGTGTAGGAAAAAGTAAAAGTCCTGCATTCAAAATGTTTAAGTAAAAGTAAAAAAGTATTCTCATCAAAATATAGTGAAAGTAGCGACAGTAAAAGTAGTCATTGTGCAGATTGGTCCATTTCAGAATAATATATATGATATGTTTTATAATGATTGATCATGAAAGTGTTCTCAAAGCTGGTAAAGGTGCAGCTAGTTTGAATGACTTTGTATACTGCAGGGTAGCTTGTGGATTTACTCCAGGTGGAACTAAAGTCTGATTTAACACTTGATTAGAAGTACACTGTTGTGTTTACCTCTGAAATTATGTGGAGTTGAAGCACAAATTATAACAAAAATGGAAATAATCAAGTAAAGTCCCTCAAAATTGTACTCGAGGACAGTACTTGAGTAAATCTACTTAGTTACTTTATACCACTAATAACACTGGCTGTGAGTGTGACGTGAATGGGGGGTTAAAGGTAAACAGTCTCTTTCTCAGAATTACATTTAGCTGAAGAGTTTTCCAATGTGGGATGATTGAAAGTATCTGTCTATTTATCTCATGCGAAATGATGTAGAATAAGTGCCAAAAACAAGACGAGACACATTCAGAACGGCAAGAATCCTGAAGTACATTAGCTTCAAATACGCTTGGTCAGAAAATTATCAAAACATATGTAGAAAGTCTTTTAAACGGAAAACTGTATAAATGCTGTCGGAACACAATAATACTTTTTCAAAGCAGAAGCCAAAAGTATTCATATACCACCAGTGTAATAATACTCAATGACAAGTATTTGTAAATCGTTACATCGTTTTGAACTGGGAAGGTTTTCATGCAATTGAGGTAATCACAGATGTTATGTTTTGAAGCCATAGTATTTCATCAGTTTGCCTAACATGCACTGTTTGACGCTGTGAAAGAACTCTCTGTTTGGTTTCCTTAGTGATTCTTCTATGGACTATTTCTCGATTCATGGTTTGGCCATAAAAATGTTTTAAATGAAAAAAATAAATATCCATCCCAGTTTCCAAAGTCCACGGTTATGTCTTTAAAAGTTGTGTTTGTCAGTCGAAAACCCACAAATATTCACTTCAATTTGATATAAAACAGGACATCTGAATATTTGAGAGGCTGGAAAAATCAATGCATTCATAATTGAATCTAAGTAACACTACATAGACGACGTATTTGCATGAAGATATGCCTTAAGGGCAGAAAAAAGAACAAAAAAAGCCCTTCTGTTTATACTATTGGACATATTGATGCGTTTATGTTTACATTGCTTCTTGTTGCCGCTCGTGAAGATGGGTCTACATTTTTTGGTCTTGCGTAACATGTGAATACTCAGGTCAGTACTTGAGTGTACTTTCCAGCACTGCCTTTTATAGCTGTTGTGTCAAACTCAATTTGAGCTGGCAAACAAACATTCCTATCCTTTTATGGCTTCAGCACCAACTTCACCAAAAATGGCAACAACAAAATGTGTTTCTACTTGAATCACGATGCAGTTGAACCACCAACAAGCTACTGCTGCAGAATCTAATAGTTTATTTCCATGTCGTTCAGTATTACCTAACCATGCCCTGGTCCTGGAAAATCCATTCCTCACATGGCCGATGCCCGCAGGAGGCGTGTGGCGCAGTGGGTTGTGCGTTGGTGTTGGGATCAGGGGGTCACAGGTTCAAACCCCACTTCAGTCCCTGAGACACTTCACCCCAAGTTGCTCCTGTGGGGATTGTCCACAGTACTCAGTATGTAAGTAGCTTTGGATGAAAGCGTCTAACAAGTGACATGTTATGTAATGCAAACAAAATAAATGCTGGCTTTAAAAATCTGCTCAGTTCAGGGTTATTTAAACGACTCTTTAGCACAAGTTTAAAACCTTCATATCTGTGTTTATGCATACTGCGCCAATCAAGAAGATGCACAAGTACAAGTAGAAATCAAGACATCCTTCGGACAGCCCAGTGCACTTCTTTTGGTTCATCAGTGGCAGAGTTGTGTTTCTGAGTTCTGGCTCCGGCTGAGACCCAGAGATCCAGCCTTGTATGGTCACTCAGTCCTGGGAGGAACGACACTGACGTGTTCCTCTCCTTCAGCAGAACATGTGCTCCTAGGGGAACGAGGCTAGTGCTCACATTATCCTGCAAAACAGATCACGCTTCTATAGAAAGAGTTTCTGTGCGTTTGGGAATCAGGGAAGTGATGTTTTGGAGCCAACACGTGTTATCAGCAGGGTTAGAGTGCACTGAACTACAGGAGATGGAACATGTACTTTATTTGAAAGGACTCTTGCTACTTGTTGGTTGATTTGGTCTCACGCTTTGTTCTGGGACATTTCCTTCAGCTCCTTAACGTGTCTTATTCCTGTACTTGATGTCCTTTCTGTGTCTTGGTGAAAGTGACCATTGTTGTTCTGTGTCTGCGGCTGCATGTCACCGTTCCTCCCAAGATGTCTTACTCGTAGAACAAGTCTTGAGATATGTGAAGGATGATTGTTATTTGTCTTGGCGTCACTTGACCTGTTGACAAACTAGTTATCTTAAAAGCATCAATCATTGGTTCAAGTATTTTCTTTTAAAGAAAAAAGCTCAACCTGTTGTCACTCCAGCTTCTCAAATGTCAATATGTTCTAGTTTCCTTACTCCTTTGTTAATTTGAATTGTTCTTTTAGGCTTTCTAGAAAATAGGACATTTGTATAGACCCATCACAAAACTCAGAGAGAAATCAAGAAACCAATCAACAGATTAATCAAAAATAAAACGTGCAGACTGAAAACGTATCTGTTTCAACTTCAACTTGGACAATTAAACCTCTCTACTTTTGTATGTACTTGCATTTCAAATGGTTCGTCCTATTAAAAAGCTGCTCACAGAATCTTCTCTGTTCACGCACGCCTGTCCCTTCGCCTGTCCCTCCCCGTGTTGGTAAACGTCTTAACCTTAATCATTCAAAACTCTTGTGTGTCCCTGCAGGCGTGGCAGATGGAGTGGGCGGCTGGCGGGACTATGGAGTGGACCCGTCTCAGTTCTCGGGGACGCTGATGAAGACGTGTGAGCGGCTGGTGAAGGAGGGCCGCTTCGTCCCCAGTAACCCGGTGGGGGTCCTCACCAGCAGCTACTACGAGCTGCTGCAGAACAAAGTGCCGCTGCTGGGTGAGCAACGAGGGGAAGTCTCCTCCACCTGCTCAGAATACACTTTGAAGAAGGCAGGACACTCAAAATGATGTCATTAGGATATAAATACAGCAGAGACATTATCGTTGATTTGAATAGACAGTCTATGGTTTTATAAACGAGGTCTCCTTCCTTTCTATTTGTATTAAAGTACTTCAGTCAGCAGGATGTGGTACTCCTCTCACCTCTCAGGGGTATATAGTGTGTTCTGAAGTGGGGTCATGTGAGGTGACTTATCAATAGTTACGTTCCCCAGTTTGGAGACACAGACAGAACAAATAAAAGCTTTTGCATCCATGCAGTATCTCCTAACTGTAATCTCCTGCAGGCTTAAGTATCCTCACACAACCCGCTGTAAAACCAAAGCTCTGTAACATCCATGCAATCCCTCTGCTGTGCAGCCCATTCTGTGAGAGACACTTTCCACGGTGTGGTTTGAGTCAGAGCTCTCTGTTTAGGGTTAGCTTGTTTGTCCCGCCTGTTTAAGTTCAGTGTCGGCTGGATACGGATTCTTACATCGTGAGTCAGAACAGCCCGATCCCATTAAGAAGTCCCGGGAATGCCCCGAGTCCCGACCTGCCCCTCGGAGCACGAACCTCCCTCACAACAAAGCACCAACACTCGATGGATCAATGTTCCTTCCTCTGCGAGTGTCAGTACTTTTCCAGCCCGTCATCACGTGCAGCGGGGAACAGCTCTGTATTGTGCAGCTTGATCACCGCAGAGTTATTGTGCTGCTGCAGAGAAAACAGGAGAGAGAAGGAGGGAGTGAGTCACCGAGCGTGAGGGGCTTCAAGGTTGATCCCAGAGCGTGTTTTGGTTCAGAGGATGAATCACCAGCAGGGCGTGGCTGCTCCATGTCCGCCCGCTGCTCCACCAGCTCCTTTCTGCTCTGTAGTACAACTTGACGCTGATCGTGGTATGTCAAGTTTGTGTATTCAGGCTCCAGACCTTTAGCGGGGTTTGTTTCCATAAACGGAGAGAAAGCTGCTAAGATATGTAGCTGTAGAAAGTTTGGAGGGAAAGACTTGTCTTAGGGAAACATGTGACCCACTCAGGGAAGGAATCATAAGAAAGGGTTTTCTCTATGCAACATTCTCTGCAACTGAAACGAGGTTTAAAGTGTTAAAAACAGTGATATGCTATTTGCTAATGGGGAGACTAGTAACATATCAAGTTCAAAGGATGGTTGCAGCTTTGTTTCCATCAGGCACTGAAGAGAAACTTATTCAAAGTATAACAAAAAAAATGACCACATATACGTCATACATTTTGTCCAGGTGTGTACTTTCGGTTGCTCTCCTGTAATAGTGTCGTATCTCCCACACCTAAATGTCAAAATACTCGACATGGTTGAAGCCAACATGAAAATATAACACGCAAAAAGTTCTCCAAAACCAAATGTAAATGATTTAGGTTTTTAGCAAATGTTCTGTGGTTTAGCTTTTGCATTCGTCTAGAGCCGGCGGATGATCTGCATTTCATTTTCAGAATATTTGCATTTAAATATAAACTAAACGTGTGTGTGTGTGCAGGCAGCAGCACGGCCTGCATCGTGGTGCTGGACCGGCGGAGCCACCGTCTGCACACGGCCAACCTCGGGGACTCTGGGTTCCTGGTGGTGCGGGGGGGGGAGGTGGTGCACCGCTCCGACGAGCAGCAGCACTACTTCAACACGCCCTTCCAGCTGTCCATCGCCCCCCCGGGAGCCGAGGGGGCCGTGCTCAGCGACAGGTGAGACACACACACAGACACACACACGCACACACACCTACCTGAATACACCTCGTGAGGATCAGATTACTTCATTTGATCGATAGTAGTATGTATTTGTACATATATGTATTGGACTCTCTTCTGTGAAGCAGTTCAGTTTGTTTGTAGGCCAACATTTACCTGCAGCTATACCTGATCATTCAAAACAATATTTGAACACATTTCTTGCTTTTTGACAAATATTGTGCTCACTGAAAATTGCACAAGTCTTTATTGCGATTTCCATGGACCATTAACTGGTATCGAGAGTCGTGGACTTTCCCTATCATTGGTACTAACTTCTTCATTCTGGTATTGTGATGTATTCAAAACCGCTACACTGTAGGGTTAGGCAATGAAAGTCCCAACAATGCAAGAGACACATCAGTGTGAATGCATGCATGAGCTCCTGCAGACCAAACAAAGGCGCTTAGCAGAACCAGCGTCAGGACCCTTTGTCCCTGGTGTGTCCCTGGTGTGTCTCTGTGCATGTCTTCAGTGTTGTGGTGCAGCTCTGCAGACGTCAGGACACTTTGTCCCTGGTGTGTCTCTGTGCATGTCCTCAGTGTTGTGGTGCAGCCACGCGCAGCTCTGCAGACGGCAGGACGCTTTGTCCCTGGTGTGTCTCTGTGCATGTCCTCAGTGTTGTGGTGCAGCCACGTGCAGCTCTGCAGACGTCAGGACG